TTCTCCTAATACATACTTTCTTTCAATGATTCAACCAATTTAAGGGTGTGTAAAAAATCCAAACTGATATGAATCGATTCATAAGCGATCCAATCCGCATTGAAAAATTTGATCCATTTTAAAAAAAATCTAACCTGATCCACTTTACAAAAATGGTTTCAGTTATTCGATCCATTTTTACAAAGTGAATCAATTCAGTTCAGTTCAATTTTTTAAGAAAATTGATCCATAAATGAGTAAAAAATGGATAATCGAATCGTACCAAACTGATCTAGTTTAAAAAAAAACTCATCAATATTTTAAAAAAACTAAATCGATTCACTTTATAAAAAATGAATTGATTATCCGATCTGCTTTTATAAAATGGATTGATTCAATTTGGATTTTTTAAAAATTTGATCTATGAATATCCCTACTAATTTTTGAATGTGAAACGCCATGTCGTACGAACCTATTATGCAAAAATTAGTATGATTCAAGTTAACGAATCTAGAATTGTAATTAAACAAATGTTGCCTAGTTGAATATGCAACCTATAAATTTTCTTTTTTTCTTCTCTTTGTATTTTGCTATTTTTTTCTCTCTCAAATTAAGTGACTCGATCTATCCTAATATGAAACCTTTCTATTTGGTTAAGTGAGACTATATAGACTTGCACAATTTAAACTTATTCTTTAGATAAAAAGGGAGTCTAAAACCTAAAAAATATTGATCTACCTAGATTCTAAAGTGGGTGGGATCGAAGTAAAAAAGAAAAAAAAAAGTACTAAATTTGATGAATTAAAAAACCTATCTCTAGTTTATAAACTAATTGGATAACATTGGCAAGGACTTTTTTTTTAATATATTGTTTTTTTTATTTAAATAACCTGGGCCCAAGATTATTTACCCAAATAACTCATTTTTCAGGCCCATGTGAGAAATTGGTTACTGGGTAACCGATTTCTCAAAGGAATTTTGAAATTTTCAAAATCTTTTTGAGAAATCGGTTACCCAGTAACCGATTTCTCACTTGGACTTTTTTTTTCTTCAATTTTTTGGGCTTTTTTTCTCTTCAGATTTGTTATTTTTTTTCTTTTTCAGTTTTTAATATCCAGATTTTAAAAAAATATAATGAATTATTAAAAAATTATTTAGTTTTTGCTTTTAGATTATAAAAATCTATTTAAAATAATTTTTGAAGAATAAAATTTAATAAAATTAATTTTAAATAGAAATTTAAATAAATGAAAATATTATGATAAATCACATCTATAAATAAAAACAACTTTAATTGAAATGAGCAACTTTAAATATAAATAAAAACAAAATAATAATAACAAAATAGGAGATCGAATAAAAAAGAACAACAACAAAATTACAATCCACGAAATTACAATCCAACTTTAATGATGTTTATGCTCACCAGTTCCACAACTTGGAGGTTGTCGGTTCCTTGTTAGGTGTTGACGACCAATGCGTGGTTGTTGTGGTTCAACTTGCTCCTCATCATGTTTTATATTAACAATATCGGTGGCTAGATTTGACGAACCACTTGCACTGACCTCAGAGTGATAAGAAGAAAATGAAGGAAAATTCATGCTTTGCATGTAATTGTATGCACTTTGTGACGTGTGTACTTCGACACCGAAAAGATTGCTCATGAAGTCCCTTATTGGAGTTATTGTTGATGGTGGGGTGTACATGAATTGTTCATGGTGCGTATGAAATGGTGGATTAGACTGGGGATGTTGTTCCACACTATAAGGTGGGTGGTTATCTCCAACCATTGGGAATGTTGTTCTAGTTGTTGTTGGGAGTTGTTTATTAGAAGTGAATGCATGAGATGAAGAATACTGGCTACAAAGAAATAATTTAGAATTAGCACGAAACCATTGTAAATACTCAGGAGTGTGTTGGAGAGGCCCCTGAAGTGGTTCCCAAAAATAACATGTTTGCGTCTGTCTTTTCAAATGGAAATCCAGTCTGCATGTTGTTTAGCCCAGTTGGTGTCTCTATGTCCTCTCATGTCTATTTCGTGCATTTTATCAAGATTATGAGCTTCATTGGGGATTGGTTGCCATAAACCAAATTGCAATTGAACTCTGTCAGTTTAATGCTAGACTACAACTGCAAATGAAGTTAAAGCAGTACAAGAAGTCCATATTCTAGAATCCTTAAAAACATGTGTTGGCAGTGAGGACTGAAATTCCCTATATGGCATCCATAGAAACTGAAAAAGAAAAAATTTTAGGGTATGAATCAATTAAGTATAAGAGAGTATGTTTGAGAGAATTTTACATTGTATCATCTCTTTATGGTTCTTGTTGTCATATCTTAATCTGTAACCAAGTAAGTCTCCATGGGGGGTGCCTGAAAATCTTAGCCCTCTTCCTGACCACCTAAAACATTTGACCATTGATAAAATTTTAGGTAAAAAATTTTAGTTGTTCGATGTATTAAAGTGGTATAAAAATTAATCCATACCTCGATGCTAGCAGAAATGTAATATCCCGTTGGACTCTTGGTTGGATGGAGGGCATGTGATACCAAGCCCAAGACTGTAGAAGCAAAGAACATCCACCCATTTTCTTTGACGATGGATAGATTGCCCTACACGTTTCTCTGTACAAATGTGCCAAACAAGCAGAACCCCAACTATATCGTCTTGCACGTTCCAAGTCAACCAATAGTGGTAAATACATTAAGTGAATTATGTTACCTGACTTGTCTGACATAATGACACCACCGATCAACCCTAAGATATATGCCCTACAATGTTGGTGCAATTGTTGTTCAGTGGGTTCATCTGGTAGTGCAATTGTATGGTCTCTTAACCATTTTAGTTTTCGGAGGTACGAAGCCTAACAACTCGTAACACAATTCATCCCAGTCAAAGAAAGTTGGTCCTGTGACTGGTTTGTCGTCGATCCTTAAACCTAATTGTAGTGCCACATCTTCTAAAGTGACCGTGCACTCACCAACTAGGAGGTGAAAAGTATGTGTCTCAGGTCTCCACCTCTCCACCAAAGATGTTATCAAACAATCATCAATTTTAAAATGTCTTATTTTCACAACCTCGCCAAAGCCAACAACCTCCAACAAATGCTCAATTCTTGGGTTAGGTGTAGGCATGGAATGATAGTAAGATTGAATCACTTGATCACTTGTTGTCTGCAAAAATGGTAGAATTGAAATTAGTAATGAATAATATTAGTTGTAAACATTATGCAATATATATTAACTTACCATAAGATGAGTTTCATTTGACCTATGGAGGTGTTGTTTCCACTACATAGTTGAAGATGAAGAAGACATTCTTGAAAAACAATAACAACGAAATTGAAGAGTGAAATAGCTGAAGAGAATTGATCTTTTGTTATGTGTTTAGGCTTGGATCATATGTAGTGTATATATAGTGCAAAAAATTTGAATATTAGTTTGTCTCATTGCGTAAGGAATCTAATGAATTTGTGCAGTGTCATCAATTGTTTTATCCCAGAGCGTCAGGAATCCAATGATTTTGTGTAGTGTCATCAATTATTTTGTCCCAGAGCGTTAGAAAAATTAATGACTTTGTGTAAAGTGTCATTGCCTTGGTCCAAAAGCGTCAGAAAAATTAATGACTTTGTGTAGAGTGTCATCAATTGCTTTGTCCTAGAGCGTCAAGAATCCAATGAAATTGTGCAGTATCATCAATTACTTTGTTCTAGAGCGTCAAGAATCCAATGTTTTGTGTAGTGTCATCAATTGCTTTGTCCTAGAGCATCAGAAAAATCAATGCTTTGTGCAGAGTGTCATTGCCTTGGTCCTACAGCGTCAAAAAAATCAATGCTTTGTACAAAGCGTCAGGAATCCAATAACTTTGTGTTTGTCCACATTAGGTTGCTTTAGTTATATATATATATAAACCCTAAACAAAGACTAAAATGCAAAAGATTGAAACATCCAATCAATGGAGTCGTTAACTGTTCCAGCCACTATTACTATGATGGACAAATTGTCTCCACTGAGCATGGAGATACATTTGCTAGCAACGAGGTTAAAACCCTACTGGTAAGCAACATGATGACTTATCAGCAACTTAAGCAGGTTATTAATAATAACCTTAATCTTCCTTATTACAAAGTTGTCATAGATATCTACTACCGATACCCAAATTCATGTATAGGTGGTGTATATAAATATACAGTGTGTCGTCTTAGGGATGATGAAGATGTGGAGTGTATGTTTTTATTGTTCACAGAACTGCACGACCTAACAAGTCTCAAATTGTATGCTACCACGACGTATATTGGATTATTGCATGAGATGGAAGCGATTGAAAGATACCTTGACCAAGCAATGAAGTTAGACAACTAAAGTTATATGATTTAAGTTTTATGTTATTTATCTATTATGTTTTGAAGTTTGTTTAAATTGTTTCTTTTCTTAAGTTATTTTCATTTTAATGATGTAACCGTTATAATTAGTGTAGTTAATATATATTTATTATTATATTATACTTTTCAATTTTCTATATTTAATAAATTTAATTTAAATAATAAAATTCATTTTATAATTCTAAAATTTAGTATAATAAATAAGTTTTAACATTTTCTTTATTTTTAACATAAATTTAAAATATTATACAAAATTTTATAATTTTATATATAATTCTGAAAATTATAATTAACTATATTTATTTTAAAAAAATTTAAAAACAGAAATATTATAATTTATAAATAAATATAATGTTAATTTTATTATTAAGTATTATTCTTTATAAATTATTTAATTTAAATATTAAATAATTTTTATAAAATTAATTATATTTTTTTAAAATTTAAAAATCAAAAAGTGAATAATTATTTTTTTTTTCACAAAATCTGAAAAAAAAACTCAAAAGCTGAACGAAAAAAAAAAAGCTCGGGAACCTGAGCCTAAAAAATGAATTATTTAGATAAATAATGTTGGGCTCAGGTTATTTAAATAAATTTTAAAAAAAATAATATATTAAAAAAAAAAAAAAGTACATCGGCGAGTTTGGCAAGGGCAATCAAAATATATTAAAAAGATCTTTCGAGTTCTGATCATCCTCGGTGACCTCTGACATGGCTGATGAGATGAAACTTGACCAAGTGAAGATCATAGAGCGGTGTGAAGTAGCACCACCACAACACTCACTTGCCTCTACCACCCTTCCCCTCACTTTCTTTGATATTCCATGGTTCTTATGCCACCCCGTCAAGCGCATCTTCTTCTACGAGTTTCACCACCCCACCAACCACTTCCTCCAAACAGCACTTCCCACTCTCAAACACTCTCTCTCCCTCACTCTCCAACACTTCTTCCCCTTCGCCGCCAACCTCATCGCTCCGCCGCAGCTCCACCTCTCTCACATCCGCTACCTCCCCGGCGACTCCCTCTCCTTCACCGTCGCGGAGTCCACCGCAGACTTCACCCTCCTCACCACCGATTCCCCACAATACGTTCGAAACTGGCACCCTCTTATCCCTACCTTATCTCCCCCACGTGTGGAGCAAGACGGCACACGTGTGTTCCCTCTCATGGCCATTCAGGTCACCGTTCTACCCAACTCAGGCTTCACCATCTCTCTCACGTTCAACCACCTTGCTGGGGATGGCAGATCGCTTCATCATTTCATCAAATTTTGGGCCTCTCTTTGCAAAGCAAGAGGTGACATGGCTAAAGCTTCTCTTGAAACCCCTTTGTCTCTTCCTTCGCACGAGAGGGACAAAGTCAAAGATCCGAAGGGGCTTAAGCGCATTTATTTTCAAGAGCTTGAACACAGTGACTCCAAAAGGATGGAGTTTGCGGGGCTCGTGCAAGTTTTTTCCACTGACAATGTTCGCTTCACTTTTGCATTGAGCCGTGAACACATTGAGAAACTCAAGAAGTGGTTCTCTCTTAAATGTGGCACGTTGCACATATCAACCTTTGTGGTGACGTGCTCCTTGGTTTGGATTTGCATGATTAGGTTTGAGGAAAGCAAAGGCAATTGTGTTGACTATGATGAACCATGCTACTTTGTGTTTCTTGCAGATTGTCGTGATCTTCCTGAATTTTCGTTACCTTGTACGTACTTCGGGAATTGTCTAGCCTCTTGCAGTGTGGCAATGAAGAGGAGTGAGTTAGTGGCAGAAAATGGGATTGTTGGGGTGGCAAATGCAATTGAAAGGGAAATTAGAGATGTGAAGAGTGATGCTTTGAGAAATGCTGAAAAGTTGATATCTGAATATAGAGAGTTAGGGAAAGCAGGTAAATCTTTGTTGCTAGTTGCGGGTTCACCAAAGTTGGGTGTGTACGAGAGTGATTTTGGATGGGGTAAGCCTAAGAAATCCGAAGCAGCGCATATTGAGTCGTCAGGATCCTTTTCTCTTTCAGATTCTAAAGACGGAAAAGGAGGAATCGAGGTTGGATTGGCACTTGAAAGGCTTCGGGTGAATGAGTTCTTCACTATCTTGCAAGAGCAACTTCATGACATTAATAAATTCTGAGGGAGCCATTCACGCATACACCACCTCGTGTATTTTTTAAATTCTTTTGTGTCAGTGGTTTTTTTCTCTGCATGTTCCAGTGAACATCTTATTTTAGATGTATTATGAGCGATTGCCTAATGGGTGTAGTAGCGTTCTTAGAAGAAGTGAAATCATTGCATTTCGTTTTCTTGATGCCATTACTGTCCAAACAAAGAGAATGAATGCATCTACGATTTCTCCACCGCACATTAGGCATCACATTAATTAAACCTGAATCTACCTATCCCTCCGATCCAATTTTGTCATATCATAAAAATAAGTTGTAATATTATATTAATATTTATGGTAAAAATACAAGAAAATGATTCTATAAAAAATATTAAAATACTTGTCCTTAAATTAACTAAATAGTACAAAATAAGAATTCGGTGCTGCAAACACCGGTTCTAAAGTCATTTGTGGGCCACAATTTGGTAAATAAAATATTAAAAATTGTAAACAATCTCTTCACTAATTCCTCGTAATAATTAATAAAATATGAGTTAGTGTCGTGCACAATTTTGTCTTTTTTTAGGCATCTACGTTTTGAGAAGTTTCCAAAACATCGGTTGTTTTGAACTTTTAAAATCGGTTATGGAACCGATCTTAAAAGAGCCGATTTTGAAAAAATAGACTTTTAAGATCGGTTATCAACCGATTTTAAAAATAGACTTTTAAGATCAGTTAATTTATAACCGATCTTAAAAGTCTTGACTTTTAAAATCGGTTGTTATATAACCAATCTTAAAAGTCTTGACTTTTAAGATCGGTTATGATTTTAACCGATCTTAAAAGTCAAGACTTTTAAAATCGGTTATGTAATAACCGATTTTAAAAGTCAATTGAAATAAAAAAAATTAATATGAATCTTATAATAGTTAAATGAGTAACATAGTTGGAAAAAATTGTTGCAGTTATAATATCTTATAAACCGCGTTCAGCCACTTGATATGAAAAGCATTGTCACCATCAAAACTAAAATGTGTTCTCTTATGAGTCAAACTGCTAACACTTATAATGGTTCATATTTAAAATCCAGTGCAAAAGGTTCAAATATATAACCTGCTCACACTAATAAAGTGAATAGTTTGTTACAAAAAATTAAAGACTAAATTAGGATTCATTTTTGCTAAAATTAGGACACCATGGTTTAATATATTCAATTCCACATCAAACTCCTATTTCTTCGCATCAAGAATAGCATTGTGTTCATCAAGAAGATTCTGCATCTCAACCTGCATAGAGTCCATGCTGTATTCAGCGAAAGAAAGAAAATGGAAAAGAGTATGCTCACAACACATTGATTTTATGATCAGACTGACAATTTAATACAAATATTCCAATTACCAGATTATTCAAATGCATACACCCAATCACTGCAAACTATTGAAATAACAAAAGTTGCAAAACAGTAATGGAAAAAATAAATCAACAAAACTCAGCAACTTACATTGGACCAATCGTTGGCTACCAATCTTCATAATTACCAAGAATAAATAATAAGGAAATGAATAGGAACCATAACATACTTTTTCTCTTGCATCAAGTTTTTCCTCCCATGCATATAACTTCTTCTCTTTGAGATCCAAGTTTATTCTCACAGAATCAAATTCCTGTATTTGAGGATATGGAGCAATTATTACATGACACCAGAATAAATAAAAATAAAGATATACAATATCTATCACACAACCAAATATTTCCCTTCTCTTTAAGAGTTAAATCCCCAAGCCTATTGTTCACATCATCTTCTTTATTTTTCAGTGTTATATTAGTTGCCTCAATCTTCTTCTGTGTATATTCAAGGTACTTATATTTTTGCCTGCACATTCTGTCATTCTCATTAGCCCTTTGCTCTCTTTCGTTGAGAATTCTTTGACCCTTGGCCAGCCACTCTTCTCCCTCCTGTAGTTTCTTCTCCCACTCCCGCAAGTCCTCTCTCTGTTTAGACAATGTACTCTCACGTGCTTCTTGTCTGTCACGGATCAAAATAAATTAGCCAAAATAAATATTTAAATTAAAAAGATAGCAGAAAAAATAAATTAATTAAAAAGAGAGAGAACAATAATGAGTACTCAGCAATCAAGGATAAACGATCCCTTCGAAGTGCAGATTCTTGAGCCTCCAGGTCTTGTGATTTCCTATCGAACTCAGAACTCTTTCTGCTGATTTCTGCAAAACTCCCCAAGTTGACCACATTGTATTTGTTTGATCTACCACAGTTGCATACAGTGTACGAAGGAGTTTTAGTCTGTGCATCTCGGAATGTATTGAGCCATGTTGCCTGTCCCGTTTTAGAAAGGTTGCCTGAAATACAACTCCTGTGATTCACTCTGCTAATTTCTTATTCCGCTTCTACTTTTACATTCATCATCTCGTTAATTTATTAATTTCACCAGCACTGTGTATAGGATGACATGTTTATTCCATGATTGAGTGCGTCTAGATGCAATCCTATGATATATAAAGTGCCAAACACAAGAGTTCATTCTTGAACCAAGTAAACTTGATATTATGACTTACAATCATATTCGTTAGAATTATATTCAGAGGAACTAAGTAGTGTATAAAATGAAACCCTGCGGTATAACTAGCATTTTTTAATACTAAATGGGTCCAAAAAACATGAAGATCTATTTTTATGGCTATACAACTTCTCATTAAAGTTGTATCATGTTTGATGACATGAGGATGTAAAATTCTATAAATTTGAAAAGAACTTAATTAAAACCAAATCACTCACCTCTGCATATTATTGACTACCATGTTCATAATCATAAGGTCCAAAGGATTAAGCGTGCTTTAGATTTAGTTTTACAATACATTCCACATCAAACTAGAAGTCCTGCGTCTTGGTCTCATTGTCTCTAAGAAACAATATTCAGTAGCTTCATTGACTTCCTCTCCATGAAGGACAACACGAACATCAGATACCAAGCCATCCTCATTGTTTTGACAACTGAGTGTGGTCAAATCAATATCTCTATTTGGAAGATATGTTTTAAATGGAACTGACCCATATCAATACCTTTATTTCTCTGATGACCTGCCTCCTTGATGATGGTACGAACCTGTTAACATATATGACCTGAAACCATAAAAAGTGAAAAGAAATAAAAAATGGCTGAATGGAAAGCCATCTCACATTAATAACTGGGCATACATAAAATATAACCATGAAATGTAATTACCTGCATCGCTCTAATAATGGTGCCAACATAAGGTATGGAGTCATGAGACTCAGATGCCACAATGGTGGCAAATAATTCAAAGAAATAGAAGATAGGTTCGATATAAGATACATGGTTGGATACAATTATTGGAGCAACTTCCCTTGGTGCAGGTCTTCCTTTCCGTTTTATCCATAAATTGAAATAACGAGAAAAATTACAAGCCCCGTTCCTATTAACATGGGAAAAAAAAATCACTTCTCACTTCCTCAATCCTCACAGCCCAAATCTTTGTCATTTTCCTCACCAACCACAGTTATGATCCATACGCCATCCAGTCTTTATTACATGATTCCCATCACAACATAATAACAAAATTACCATGCGAGAGGAGCAATAATTGCGGGTACTATAATACTGCATCAACAAACTCACTGCATGTACTCTCAAGTCTCGACCATTGTTTTTCTCCTACACGCTCCAATTCTAGAAGAAAAAATATTATCTCCAAAACACAAAAATCATCTATTGTAGCCAAACAATCATTTCCCCCAAATTACCAGCAGAATATTTCCCAAAAAAAAAAATTCAACTTCCAAACCAGCCCTCTCCAAACAAAACGACATTCAAGCAGTAGAAAAAATTAACTAAGATCTCAAATGAATTTTAGTATTCAAAAAAGAAAAACAACCAATTACAGACCTAAGACATTAAAAATGAAAGAAATTAAGCAAGATTCAACAGAGAGAGAAGGAAGAAGAAATACCCAAAGGAGAAGAGAATGCATCTTGCGCACAAGCGCGTGATCCACATAACCCTACACCTCGACTTCGGCATCGGATTCTCCTTGTCCCTCCATCCACTTGCGGTCGACAACGAGCGTTGGCTGTATGCAACGAAGAATCTCGCTGGTGGTTTTCTCGGCCATCGCCAAGACATCTGGCACGACGGAGGACGAATCAGGTTTGGGTGCATGATGAGGGTAAGGATAATGAGGGTTTGGGTGCGTGACGAGGGCAAGGAGAATGTCGAAAAGGGTTTCGGTACGCGAAGAGGGCAAGAACATTGTTGAAGAGAGTTTTTAGCTATGTGAGATTGTGAGGATAACAATACTGCAAGTATAGAATGAATGTTTCCATATTACATCGGTCGCGAAGTAAACCGATGTAGAACATTTGAACTTTCAATAGTTGACTACTTTTAAAATCGGTTTCATAATAACCGATTTTAAAAATGGCACTTTTAAAATCAACTATTTAATAATCGATTTTAAAAATGGGCTTTTAAAATCGGTTTTTCAAGAACCGATTTTAAAAGTAGCGTTAGAAACTTTTAAAATCGGTTATAACGTAACCGATTTTAAAAGTAATGTCATTATTTATAAAATTGTCACTTTTAAAATCGGTTATTTTAGAACCGATTTTTAAATCCCGATTTTAAAAGTCATTTTTGTACTAGTGAAAATATCATGACAGAATGGTATTTATAAATTAAGAGAATTACTCATAATTTTAAAATTCAAACCAGTCATCAAATTAATTAAGATACTAGGTCAATAAATCAAAGATTGAATTAGTAAATCACTAATTAAATTGTATAATATAATTTTTATTAATTTTTTTTAAAAAAATATTCGTATTGAATATATTTTATACTTATAAATTTTAATAAATTCATATTATATCTTAAATTTCAATTTTTATCTTATTTAAAATTATTTTTATTTTTATTTCGTGTAAAAAATAAGTAAAATTTGTATATTAAACTGTATATTAATACAGATTAAAAATATAAAATAATATGTATATATATAATATACTGGTAATTGATATAACAAAATAATGCATGCAATATCTACATACATATATATATATATATATTATTAAATATATAATTTAAAATTAATAGTAAACTACAAAAGTTATTTAAGTTGCATATATTACAAACAGAAATATTAAAACAAGTAGTCATTGTAATGTTTGATAAGGCTCTTCATTCTCTCATGAGCAGGGTTTAATTCCTAGACCACCAATTTCTGGTTCAATCAATCCAACCAATCGGTCCGAGCCGTTTTTTAAAACACTAAAATTACCACTATTATATATACCAGAGAAAAAGATATATTTTGTATCTCTTTAATTTTAAAAATAAATAAAAAATAAGTATAAATAGATTTATTTTTAGAATAATTCCTCTTCTTTATAAATATATTGTTCATAAAATATATTTTAACATAATCAAATTCAAAAAAATAAAAATAAAAAATTCTAATATAATATATAAAGTTATTTTAATTCAATATTTTCTTAATATACAAATAAATTTTTTTTTCTGAATTAATATTATTTATTGTACTTATTAAATATAATATAGAATTATTCAAATAAAATGAATGTAATTTTTTATTTAAATATTATTCATTAATATATTTATTGAATTATTTATAAATAACTTTGGTAATATTAATATATTGTGATAGAGGGCAGAGAGTGTGAATTTGCGAGGTAGTGACAAATTAAGAGTGTATATCTGGGACACCGTAATGAAGAGTGTACATAGATTTGTTATGATTATAGCAACTACTGACTTTATGTTCATCCCGGTGTCTGCGGGTTCAACTATTCTTAAGCCTCTCATTCACCTTCTCTATTGTCAAGTACATTTGCACCCACCAAAACCTCACCTTGTTCGCGAAAGATAAATAAACTCGCGATGGAGGCTAATCACAGTTTTATGCACCTTGTCGTGGTTTAGGTTGTTGATTGACTTAGAACTAAAGGAGAGATTTTTGTTTAGAAAGTTGAAGATCCCATATAGGAAATTTTGTTTTGGCGCTCTAAGAAGCCAATTGTTGAAAACCCTCCTTGAGTAGGTGTGAAACTCTTAGCAACAATCTTCTATATCTGTGACATCTAATTAATAGTTGTAGTACTAACAGTGAAAATGTAACCAGTGGTACTTCTTCGGTGATCGACTTCACCTCCAAATTTTGAATCTATGTAGCCTTGTACTTTTAATTCTCCTTTACTAAAGTACAAAAACTTCTCTATAGTGCCTCGTAGATACCTCAAAATCCCCTTGACTGCTTTCCAATGAGCTTTACTTGGATTCAACATAAACCTACTAACAACTCCCACTGCATGGCCAATGTTTGGTCTTTTATAGACCATTGCGTGCATCAAACTTTCGATGGTTGAAGCATACGAAATCTTAGCTATGAACTCTTTTTCTTCCTCCATCTGAGGGGACTGATCTCTCGGTAGAAAAAATGACTAGCCAAAGGTGTGCTAACCGGTTTGGCGTTGCCCATGTTGAATCTTTGCAAAATATAGTTGATGTACTCTACCTGAGATAACTGCAAAATACCTCTTTTCTTATCCCTCGTGATTTGCATTCCAAGGATCATTTTTGTTGGACCCAAGTCCTTCATATCAAATTCTTTTGACAATTGTTGTTTCAAACTTTTGATCTCATCCATATCTAAACATGCTACTAACATATCATTGAAATAAAGTAGCAAAATGATATAAATGGACTTATATCTCTTGAAGAAACAACAGTGATTGGCATTGTGCTTCTAGAAACCTTCTTGTTCATAAAGCCTTCAAATTTATTGTACCATTATCTTGGAGCTTGTTTCAAACCATACAAGCTTTTCGTTAATCTACACACCATATTCTTTTTCCCTTCTTCTGAGAAACCTTCAGGTTGATGCATGTAAATTTTCTCATCTAAGTCTCTATGAAGAAATGTAGTCTTCACATCTAATTGCTCAAGGTAGAGCCCTTCACTAGAAACGATACTTAAGACTGACCTGATAGTATTGAGCTTCACAACTTGAGCAAATATCTCAATGTAGTGAATACCTTCCTTTTGCTGGAATCCTTTGAAAGCTAGTCGGGCTTTGTATCTCTTGGAGCCGTCATGATCCTCCTTCACCCAATACACCCATTTGTTGTGAAGTGCCTTTTTTCCAATAGGTAACTCTACAAGTTCCCATGTCTAATTGGACACTATGAACTTCATCTCATCTTTCATGGAAAGCTCCCAGTTACTAGCATCTATAGTTTGACATGCTTCCTCGTAGTTTTCTGGCTCCCCTTCATCAGTTAACAATGTATAATTAAGGTATTTCCTGATAGGCACATGTAGAAGACCTTCTAAAAATAGGAGCTGGAGTTGAAGGCTTTGGTGTGTCAATTGATTCCTCTAAATAAGGAGTATCAATTATAGAAGTTTTTTGGACATCATCCACATCTGCATACACTAGCCCACGCTGTTCTGAATTGCTAGTGTATGTGTTGTCTTTGTCCTTATACACCACTCTTTCATTGGAGATCACATCTCTACTACGAATCATCTTTTTGTTTTCATTATCCCATAGACGATAGCCAAACTCATCCTCACCATAACCAATGAAAGTGTAATTCTTCAATTTAGGATCAAGTTTATTCCTACCTTGATAACTAATGTGCACATATGCTACACAACCAAAACTCTAAGATGTGAGAGTTTTACGTCTTTTCCATTCCATACCTCTTCTGGCATTTTGTGATCCAATGGTACCGATGGACCTCGATTGATTAAGTAAGTTGTTGAATTGACTGCTTCTACCATAACTGCTTTGGTAAGCCTGACTACGTACGCAACCTTCTAGCTCTTTCAGTCCATGTTCAATTCATACGCTCAACTACACCATTGTGTTGAGGCGTACCCAACATGGTCCTCTCCATTCTAATCCCGTGCTCACAGCAAAAGTTCTTAAATCTAATGTCAACATATTCACCACCATTGTCAATTCTAAGCATTTTGATCTTTAATCCTGTCTCATTTTCTACCATGGCTTTCCAAATCTTGAAAGCCTCAAATATTTCAAACTTATGTTTCAAAAAATATATCCATACCTTCCTAGAGTGATCATCAATAAAAGTCATGAAATATTATTTTCCACCAACGGATGAGATTATCGTTGGATTCGAAGCATCAGAGTGAACAAGCTCAAGTCTCTCTTTCTTTGGGGTTCTTCCACTTGTCTAAAAGTAACTCATTTCTACTTTCCAAGTATATAGTCTTCGCACATGTCAATTTCTACTGATTGAAGATCTGGTAGTTTATCTTTTGAGTGCATGATCTTCATCCCTTTCTCACTTATATGGCCTAATCTTTAGTGCCATGGATTAGGATTTTCATTTGTTGCAACTGCAATCAAATGACATGCTCCTGCAACCCCACTTTTTTTACCATGAGCAATTGTCATTGCACCCTTTGAAATCTTGCAATGATCACCATGGAAGACTATTGTGTAGCCATCACTAGCCAACTGGCCTACTAAGATTAAGTTCATTGTCAAGTTAGGAATATGTCTAACATTTTTCAATTCCAACATAGAATCACTTAACTTAATCTTCACTACACCCTTACCAACAATCTAACAAGATTGTTCATTACCAAGGTAAGCTTTATCAAGATTTCCGGGAACATAATTCTCAAAGATTTCTTTCTATGAAGTGGCATGAAAGGATGCTCTAGAGTCTAACACCCGAGACTCTTCTTTATTCTATAAAGAACATATCAAGGCATCATCTCCTCCCGAGGTAGAAGCAACATTTGCCTCTATCTTTACCTCTTGATTCTTCAGTGGACTCTTGCACTGATTTTTGTAGTTCCAATCTTTCCACAATTTTAACACTCAATGTCTTTGAGTTATGGAAAATACGATGATTCTTGGACCTCAACCTCCTTTTCTTGGATTTACCACGTCCATTGCCGCTGGTTAAATTTCTTCCTTTTTACTCTGTATGCAAAACTGAAGACGTTGAAGATTCACCCGACTCTCTTCATCGAATCTCTTCACTAAGAACCATATCACGAACATCATTGAATTTTAACTTATTGCTTCCCAATGAGACTCACAGCTGTGACAGTAGCCTTCCAACTTTCCGGTAGATAAGACAAAAGTATCAATGCTTGTACTTTTTCGTCGAATTCGATTCCAACTGAACTTAATTGGGTTGTGACTATATTGAGTTCATTCAGATGTTGCGCTACCAATGCGCCTTCTGCCATTTGCAAATTAAACAACCGCCTCATCAAATGAACTTTATTTAAGGCTAATGGCTTTTCATACATATTAAAAAGAGCCGCCATAAGACCAGGCGTGATCTTTTATTTTGCAATATTGAAAGCAACATTGCGGGATAACGTCAATTAGATAACTCCAAGGGCTTGTCTGTCGAGAAGAGCCTAATCTTCTTCCTTCATGCCCTCTAGTTGTTTTCTTGAGAGAGGTTGATACAACTTTCTCTAATATAGAGAATCTTCGATCTGCATCTTCCAAAAGTCAAAGTTCGCACCATTGAACTTCTCAATTTTCACATTTCCTTCATCTGCAACCATTTCTCTCACTCAAATATGACTCTTTCTGGATCTTTTCTATTTTTTTTAGAATTGATAGCAATCACCACCAAAGCTCTGATACCAATTGTTGAGAAATTATGCAAAATTTTTTATAATCAAATTTGTGATAAATAAAATAAATGTGAAATAATAGCTCACAAAACTTGATAATGGAGTTTGGCTAATTGTGCCTACGTCTCTAGGCTGCTATAGATATATTATTGATAAAGGAGAAAATATAAATAGTGTTTACAAACACTCAACTTACAATCCAAAATACCCAGAAAATAAGATATTATTTTCTAATTTTATTTTTACTCTTTTTTTTTTCTATGTTTTCTCTTGTAGTTGAAATATTTAAAACGAAAACTAAACCCATATTTATAAAATCATTGGATCCACATATTAAGGGATCTTGTCTCTAATTTAGGTGACATTGGGTGCCGGTGCTTAAGTGTAGAGTCTAATGATGAGAGTGATGAGTTTCCGATTGAAAACCACGTTAGACATTTCCTTGGAGAAGATGATATTTTGAGGTATGTGTCCCTAATATAGAGATTAAATATAGGTTGTCAATTTGAGATTTTGATACTTATAATTTATGATATTTTAGTAAAATTTTTTTTAAAAAAATTCATACATATTTATGATATGATATTGTTCATATTTTAATATTGGAATTATAAGAAAATAACATCATAACAATAATAGTGATTACTGTCAATATGAATATATTTACTGTCATTAAGGTACATGGCTTAATGCCACTAGCTCCAAATTAAAAATAATTTGTAAGCCTTAATGTCAAGTGTGATTTATTAATGACATTATTGCGGAGTGTGGCTTACCAAACTAAGGTGTGGAGAATGTAAGTGGCCTAATGTAAGTTTACTATAATAGTATTAATGAATTATAGTATGTCTATTGCAAGGCCTAACTACAGAACTTGATCGCTATTAAATAATTGGGTACACACATGCAATCTAGCACATTTTTTAAGTGTAGAAATACTGTCAAGTTTAGACAAATAGTAATTGTTTTATAAATATAGAAATCGATAATTAGAGTTATATATTAAGTATGCTATTTTTATTCCTGGATTTAAGTGAGATATACAATATCTATATATTAAAAAAGGCTTAAATATGTTTAAACTATCTTGAATTAGCTCGATTTTCAGATTATTATTTATAAAAAAAAATTTGTTAAAATTACTTGACAATTTTTTTTTTCAATTTAGTACCTGACTTTAATTTCCTCTGTTAAATGATGACATGACAAACAGACTGCCACATCATCACCCAACAATGTCTGCCACATCATCCAAGGGACTGCCACGTGGACATGGTGATGACGTGGCAAACACTGTTGGGTGATGACGTGGCAGTCCATCTGCCATGTCATCACTTGACAAAGGGGACCAACGTCAAGTGCTAAATTGAAGAAAAAAAAATTAGTCAAGTATTTAAAACAAAAAATAATAAATTAATAGGTAGTAATTTGAAAACTGACCTAATTGAAGGTAGTAATATGAAAAACTGACCTAATTGAAGGTAGTAATCTGAAAACTGACTTAATTGAAAGTATTAATCTGAAAATTGTCACTGAAGGACAACCTATTTTGAGGCTACCATATTTTGATTGCATAAATTACACTGAGTGAAAGGAGCGTATGCGAATATTCATACAATCCATCGACTTCAAACTTTGATTTGTCATAAAAAATGGACCAAAAATTCCAACAAAGATAGTGGACAATGAAGAAGTGGAGAAAAGTGAAGATTAATAAGATGAAGAAGACATAAAACACCTGTAACTAGAAACAAAAGCAACAAATGCACATAAATTAGCTTCCCATTGATCATGTATGGAAACTATTGCACTTGATTATAAAAAAAGAAAATTATGGAATTATATTGAAACTCAGTATATATAATATATATATATATATGTGTGTAATATTTATATTTACTAATAATAAGTTTTTAAATAAAAATTTAATTTCAAATCTTATAAGTTTTACTTGTAAGATAGGAAAGTTAATGCTACAAATATTCAGATTGCTACCTTTAAATAAGGCAATTTTCAGATTACTACCTTCAAATTAGGTCGATTTTTCAGATTACTAACTTCAAATAAGGCAGTTTTCAGATTACTACCTTCAATTAGGTCAGTTTTTTAGATTACTATCTCTAATTATGTCAATTTTCAGATTACTACCTATTAATTTATTATTTTTTGTTTTAAATACCTGACTAACTTTTTTTCTTTAATTTAGTACCTGATGTTGGTCTCCATCTATCAAGTGATGACGTGGCAGATGGACTGCCACGTCATCACCCAACAGTGTTTGCCACATCATCATCATGTCCACGTGGTAGTCCCTTGGATGACATGGTAGACACTGTTGGCTGATGATGTAGCAGTGCGTTTGCCACATCATCATTTAACATAGGAAACTAACGCCAAGTACTAAATTGAAGAAAAAAAATTTGTCAGGTAATTTTAACAAATTTTTTTTAAAAAAGTAGTAATATGAAAATCGAGCTAATTCGAGGTAGTTTAAATATGTTTAAGCCATTAAAAAATAGTAACTAGTTATTACACTAATTATTTAAAGGTCCAGATATTGAATTGTCATAATTCAATCACAAAATAAAAGTATATGATCTATATCATTTGCAACCCATCAATTTTAGATCAATTCTCACTGCCACAATTAGAGATATCCTATTTTTATAAGATGAGATCAATAACTTTAACTAAATTTAGTTTAATTAATCAAACAATACACTAATATAAAGTCATAACTAATTCAATAAATAAAAAGTTTACAAAAAGTTATTTAACTTTATAACAACACCATATTATAAGAAAGGACCAAAATAAAAAATTAATAAAGATGATAACAATATTCATGTCAATGTGTACATATGAGTGTATAGATAATGTATATAAAACCTGCAAGGAATATAAAAAAAGTTTGAATTATATTAAGTCAAATAATTATTAATTTTACATAACATTAGAGGATACAAATGATGGACACTCGAGTAATATTTTAATAGATAATTGACAATAGGATGCAAATTATAAAATGTATATTAGAAATTTGAGACACAAATTATGAAAAAATTACTTGAAAAAAAATTCATCAAAATATAAAAATTCAAAAACACAATAAAATTAAATCTCTATCAAACATATCATGTCATTAAATTCATATGTTATATATACATTTATGTGTGTGTTATTATCTACATTTCATTAGTATTTTGATGAACAATCGATAAAAAAAATATAAATCACCATAATTTAAAAGTTTGACAACATAAATTATGGGAAAAAAAAATAAAAAGAACCTTAAGAGAGAATAAACGGAAAAGTGAAACTTTGTAGCTTTGAATTATTAATCGTGTTACCTTTAACTGTACCCACAACTTTTAGACCACGATTGGTCAAAGTATTAATACTCATTGATTTAATGATAAAAGTAGAGTTATGACTCATGTTATGATACATTTTAAAGTGGGTTATATTGACGCCGAAAAAGGATAGCAATAAAAAAAATGGAGAAAAATGACAGATATAATAAAAAGGAAAAAATATAAATAAAAAACAAAACGAAATAGAAAAAATATAATGCTTATGTTTTTATATTTTATATTTTTATTTTTTTATTTATAGAATTAACATGTGGTTCAACATGAAGAGTAAAAGATAAGAACTTAATTGTTGAATATGTGAAAGTTGCACATCCTTGGCAACGGAAACCCTCCCCCCGGTTCCACCTCTGCGAATTAGAACAATAAACTTTAAGAATATGGTGGATCCAAAGAAAGAGAATGACAATGATAATGAATTGATGATGATTGAACTATCATCAAGCCGCCATCTCTACCTTCGGTTTGTTGACAGTTTCATTCACAAACTGTAATATTAAGTTGTTCTTCCAATATGTTGTTGAAATTATTCATTTGACTCTTGTCAAGTGCCAATCCAACCTCAATCCCACCATCTTTGTCTCTACAATCAGAAAGAGAAATCATTTTTCCCGCATCAATATGTACTGCGTCAGTTTTCTTTGGCTTACCCCATCCAAAATCAGTCTGGTACATGGTGAGTTTGGGTGAGCCTGCAACCACAACCACAGATTTACCCGGTTTCCACAACTCTCCATAATCTGACATCAGTGTCTCAGCCCTTGTCAAAACATCACTCTTCAAATCTCTAACTCTCCTTTCAATAGTTTTTGCTACCTCAATAATCCCATTTTCTCCCACCACCACACTCCTCTTCATTCCCACAATACAAGAGGCTAGACAATTCCCAAAGTACGTTGAAGGCAATGAAAATTCAGGACTATCACGACAATCCGCTAGAAACACCACATAGCACAGTTCATCATCAGAATTGCCTTTGCTCTCCTCTGACCTAATCATGCAAACCCAAACCAAGGAGCACGTCACCACAAAGGTTGATATGTGAGGTGATGCCCCGGAATCGTTGTTGGCACAATATTTAAGAGAGACCCATTTCTTGAGTCTCTCAACTTGTTCACGGCTCAATACAAAAGTAGAACGAACCTTGTTAACGAAAACATGTGGCGCCACGCTTGCAATCTCCATCATATTGGAGTCATGGTTTTCGAGTTCTTGCAAGTAGAGGAGCTTGAGACCCTTCGGATCTTTAACTTTGTCCCTCTCGTGTGAAGGAAGAGACAAAGGGGTTTCGCCTCTTGCCTTGCAAAGAGAGGCCCAAAACTTGATGAAATGGTGAAGCGATTTGCCATCCCCAGCAAGGTGATTGAACGTGAGAGAGATGGTGAAGCCGGAGTTTGGTAGAACCGTGACCTGAATGGCCATGAGAGGGAACGCACGTGTGCCATCTGGCTCAACACGTGGTGAAGGAAGCGTGGGAACGAGAGGGTGCCAGTTTCGAACGTCTTGTGGGGAATCGGAGGTGAGGAGGGGGAAGTCGGCGGTGGACTCTGCGACGGTGAAGGGGAGGGAGTCGCCGGGGAGGTAGCGGAAGTGAGAGAGGTGGGGTTGCGGCGGAACGATGAGGTTGGCGGCGAAGGGGAAGAAGTGTTGGAGAGTGAGGGAGAGAGAGTGTTTGAGAGATGGAAGTGCTGTTTGGAGGAAGTGGTTGGTGGGGTGGTGAAACTCGTAGAAGAAGATGCGTTGCACGGGGACGAGACAACAGAACCATGGAATGTCGAAGAAGGTGAGGGGAAGAGTGGTTGCGGGAACTGAACCTGGTGGTGGAGCAACTTGGCATCCATCTATAACTGTCAAAGTGTTGTTGTTGCAATTCATGTCGTGCCTCGTGCATGTTTCTGCACATCACTGCTTCTTCTGAAATGACAAACACAGCAGAAGTTGGATGCAAATCAACATAAGTTTTAATTCAATACACAAATAACAACACAATTAATAAAGTAAAAGCAAACCAAAATTCTGGTCACTATTCAAAGAAAAGACATTGGCATAAAACAAAGTACACTTCACGTGAACACTGAACAGGATGTCAAATATAACATGCCAACCCCTCACTTTCTTTGATATTCCGTGCTTCTTATATTATTAATATTTTTACACCGGTTCTAAAGTCAATCGTGGGCCACAATTTGGTAAGTAAAATATTAAAAATCGTAAACAATCTCTTCACTAATTCCTCGTAATAATTAATAAAAATGAGTCAGTGTCGTGCACAATTTTGTTTTTTGGAGGCATCCACATTCACAAAAATATCACCGTTTGAGAAGGTTCCAAATATATCACGAAAGCGTAGTATTTATCGATTAAGAGAATCACAACTATCATATACCAGTGATCAAGTTTATATTTTATTTAATAAAAATATTTAAAAATTATTAATATTTGTTAGATTAGTTTTATATTTGTAAAAATTATTAATTTTTAATATTATTATTATTTAAAAAAATTAGCCCATTAGTTCCAAGAGCCCAATTAGTTGAAAACATGTTTTCCCTTCATCTGAGGGCGGTCGACCGAGCCGAATATGGAGACAGATCGGTCGTGCTCGTCTACAAAGTGCCAGAAGCAGCTGACCTTGGAGTAGTCGGGTGGTGGTGCCTTCGCCGTGCCGGCGATTGTGGCCGGGTCCAACTTCCTCGTGCCGTCTACCGAGATCGAGAACCTGGTCAGCCTGGACCTAACCTCCAATGGCGGACTTCAGTACTTGGGTTGTAACCAGAGTATGCATCTAGGAAGCTGAAGATGGTGTGCCCGGACGCGCCGTCGATAAGCTGGTCAATGTAGGGGAGTGGATAGGCGTCTTTGGGGTAGGCTTTGTTGAGGTCGGTGTAATCGGTGCACATTCTCCACTTCCCATTTGCCTTTTTGACCAATACCACGTTAGCCAGCCAGGTGGTGTAGGTGACTTCTCTTATGAACTTGACTTGCAACAGTTTTTGCAACTCAGCATTCACAGCTTTTCTCTTCTCATCTCCCATTTTTCTCTTCTTTTGGGCGACCAGTCGTGCGTCTCGATATACAGCAAGTCGATGACAAAGAAACTTGGGATCTATTCCTGGCATGTCTGATACCGTCCATGCGAATAGGTCTTTGTTATCTCAGACCACACGTTTCACCCGATTTGAGTTGACTTCGCCTAGTTGGGATCCTATGTCTGTGACCTGCTTGGGTGCTCGGCCGGCTCAATTTGCTCTTCTTCGCCTATCCGAGGGTCGAGGTCAATGTCATCTGTCATCTCCTGCCTCACTACATTAACACCTTTTGTCGACGGGGGCTAAGCAATGGGCTGCACCTTCAGACTAGAAAGGTAGTATTCCCTCGCTGTCTTTTGGTCGGCATGTACGGTTATTACCTGTCCATCTCTCGACGGGAACTACATAAGTGAGGGGTTGAGACAATAGCCCCAAGTTCATTAATTGAAGGTCGGCCTAACAGGATGTTGTATGACGTGTTGGCGTGCACCACAATGTAACGGATTTTGACCTCTTGAAAAGACTTTTGATCGAAGCCAAAACGAGTGTACAGATCAATGCACCCTCTCGTCATCACTCTTTCGCCCGAGAATCCTACCAATGGCTCGTGATACGGTTCTAGGCTGTCTTCCGGGATCCCCAACTGCACGAACGTGTTCCAATATAAGATGTCGGCTGAGCTCCCTTGATCAACCAAGGTTTTCTTCACAATGCAGTTGTGCATTTCAACTGAAATCACCATAGGGTCGTCTTGGACGGGATCGACGCCACGGAAATCCCGATCGGAAAACGTTATTGGTGGCATCCGGGGTGTCTTCGGCTGATTCACACTATTTACTGATCGCACGGCCCGAAGGTGCCTTTTCCGTGCCGAGGAGGTGGATCCTCCTCCCGCGAAGCCTCCAGCTATGGTGTTTATCACCTTCCTTGGTCGGTCATTGTCTTCCCGGGAGTGTCGTGAATGGTCCCTCCTCTCGGTTGAACAGGATCGGTGCTGACGGTCCCTCGCGTATTTTGCTTCTTGAGGTGGCACGACCTCTCCTTCGTTGCTTGGCGGTGGTGTGAAGTTGAAGGGGGGTCTCGGGAGGTTACGAAACCCCTCAGGTGACCTTGTTTGATTAGTTCCTCCAACTTGTCTCAGAGAGCAGAACATTCCTCGATTGAGTGCCCCCTATTACGGTGGTATTGGCACGTCTTGGCTTTGTCTGCTCTAGGAGGGGTGTTCGCCCGTTTCGGCATGGTGAGGATTTCAGAAGCTAGAGCTTGTTCCAATATTTTCGCCTTACTCGTGTTGAGGGGCGTGTACGTTGTGTAACGTGGCCTTCTTGGGGGCCTATTATTCGGGGGCTCGGTATTCACCTTTTTCCCTGGTTCTCGACTGGATTCTTTTCGGCTGTAACCCTCTTTGGCCCTAGTCTGATTTCTGGTCTCCGCCAACTCCTCCATTGCATGTACTTCTCTGCTCGACGCCAGAGATCGTTCATATCTCCAGGCAGTTTCTTACACAGGCTATTCACAAATGGCCCCGGCCTCAGGGCAGTGCTCAGCCGATCCATTACTACGGCTGGGTTGAGATCACCGATTTCCATGGCAATTTTGTTGAATCGGTCCATGAAGCTTCTCAAACTTTCCTTCTTTTCCTGTCGAACCCCCGCCAATGCTAGTGAGATCGTCTTGTACGATTTTCTCGTCGCAAACTGCAGGGTGAACTGGGACGACAACTCATTGAACGAGTCAATGGAGAAGCTTGGCAATCGCGTGAACCAGCTCAAAGCCCTTCCCTTCAACGACGTGGGGAATATCCGGCACAGGGCGGAGTCATCTTGAGTCGAGAGGGTGACTTGTGTCAGAAAAAAATTCAAGTGCTCCTCAGGGTCGGTGGACCCGTCATACTTCTCGATGGGCATGCTCTTCCAGTGGTCCAAAAGGGTGGCTTCCATTATCCTTCGGGAGAATGGGTGCCTTAATGAGTGAGAGGCGGTGTCGGCCTTGCCACTAACTAACTAGATAATTGTAACAGCCCAGCAACCCCCGCATGTGAATATTGTCCGCTTTGGACGCAACCCTCACGGTTTTGCTTCTGGCAATGGCACGCATGCCACCCCAAAACGCGTCCACACAAGGAAGGTATCAACACCCATATATATGGCATGCTTCGTTCTCCTTCCTAACCGATGTGGGACTTCACACAATCCACATGCGGGTTGCTGGGGTGTTACAATAATCGGTGTTAGGGTGACCTGCTCGGTTGGGGCATGATAAGCTAATTCTTCCACAAGCGTGGGAGTCGACGACACATAGGTTTGGTTCAAATTCTGGAGCTCGACATTCTGTCGATGAAGTTCGGCCAACTCCCTGGCATCGGCTTCTCTCTGTCTATGTATGGCTGCCATTTCCTCGCGCAATGCGTGCAAGTCATCGTGGAGGTCAGGCTAGGCTCTGGCGGCATTCGGTCGGACCTCTTGTGTTGCAGGCTCCAGTTGTGTTTAAGGCATTCCGTACGGGTATCATTCTTGGCCGGTCATTCTGGGATTGTTCTCAGGGTTAGGGATCGGTTGATTCAATGTTGACGGTCCTTTACGCGTAACTACCATGTCTTAGTCTTAGTCAGTAGAGTTTAAAGGGGCTGAAAACGTCTCTTCGGCCCCACGGTGTGATGGAACTACTTGGAGAAGATTGATGTTCTTCAAGTTGAACCATGCTAAGTCCCTTCTTCTCTTGAGGTTCTTCGCGTCAATGGAAGATTTGGATGAGTTCAAGCTTCAAAAGCTTGAAGATGCTTCCCAAGGTGGTTCAGTTTCTCTTGAAGGAGAGAAACTTGAGGAACCAAACACAAAGGAGAAGTTCCTTTGTGAAGCTTCTAGGAGAAGGAGATTCTCCATGAAATTGGACTCTTGAAATGAGAGAGAATTTCTGAATTCTAAGTCTCATAAATGTCAAAAGTGATTACAATAGTAGAAATTACAAATATATAGAGGTAGGTAGCTTAAGGAGCAAGTTAACCTTAACCATGGTTCACGAGGAACCATGGTAAGGTTAGTTGACCTTCAAGGTGAGTTTAGAAACTTGTGGAGCAAACTTTTCACTTAGCTTGCTTGGGAAGCAAGCTAAGGAGAAGCTTGTAGCACAAGCTTCTCATCTCCTTGAAGGCTAGAGAAGCAATTCGGTCAAAGAAAGGAGACTAGGCAAGGTGGGCGGATTTGGTCTCTTTTGGCTCCTTGAATTAATTTCAAAAATGTTTAATTTGGTTTAGTTAGGTTCATGCAATGATGATGAAACCTAGATAAATCAAATCTATGAAAAATTACGAGCAAAATGAGTCTAATATGTAAAATTTTGCCTAAGCCCAATTCTGGCCCAATTACTAGTCACACCCTCAAGCATTGCTAAATGCCACCCCTCTTTTCCTACTTAAAAAATAGAAAATGAGTGTATCAACAAAGGAGGTTAAATGGAGTCAAACTCTCCAAGTAACCCACCCTAGAATCAATATACAATGACAAATAAAGGAAACTAAAGTGCCTCACAAATACAAAGGCAAAAATAGGCCTATACAAGAGAACTATGTACAAGATATTTACAACTAGAACTATGCCTTCTCTTCATGATAGAGTGGTCCAAATTGAATAGTACCTTGGGCTTGGAAAGCCCACTAGTCTTCAAGGTGTCCACTGGTCTTCAAGGTGGCCATAGCTCTAGAGATTGGGCCCTTGGCCCATGGTCCATCATC